CCTACAATTTTACTCTGGATTGTCTCATCTGTGGTTAGTGAATCTGATCGGGTCCATTGCCAGGAGCACTGACTGCACAGCAACAGAAACAGAAACACAATAGTCTCTGGTAGATCTTATTCACTCTTGTAAGGTAGACAGTTTAGGTGGGTATTCTTCCCCACCACTGCTGGAGTGTCTGCTACAGCTATACGTGCTGCCTTAATGCTATTCCTACTCTTAAAACTTTATTCAAAGGACAAGGCCCTCGCATCTCTGAATGCTAATCTCACATGATTTCCCATTGCTCAAAATCAAAGATAACAGAAGTGACTGGAGAAGAAAAGACTGAGGGGAATTTAATAGCAAACCTTAACTTCCTGAAAGGTGGCTGCAAAGAGGATGGAGCTGGACTGTTCTCAGTGGGGGCAGATGACAGGAAAAGGAGCAATGGGCTCAAGTTGCAGCAAGGGACATTGAGGTTGGATATTAGGAAAAGCTCTTACTAGGAGGGTAGTAAAGCACTGGAACAGGTTACCCAGAGTGGTGGTGGACTCTCCGTCCTTGGCAATTTAGAAGACCCAGGTTCACAAAGCCCTAGCTGGGATGATGTAGGTAGAGCAGAAGGTTGGACCAGATGTGATCTCCTGAGCTCCCTTCCCATCCTCATTTCTCTGATTCAATGACTTGTTGCTCCCTGGTTCACCAAAATAATGAGTGGCAGGACAAATCTTCAGACTTTAACAATAATTTTCCCATTATTTCACTGCTGCTTACAAATTTTAAATTTGAGGCACTGGGGTCCCACAGTGACTTGCCTGGACCATGTTATTAGTAATGCGCACTGTTCATTTTGAAGAGCTTCTTACCTTGTTCAACTTCTAGTTGTGTTTCTTTTTCTTTTTTTAATAGACCTTTTTATGAGGCACTGCTCTGTCCTAGGCCAACTATTTGTTAGCTGTTGCCCTACCTTGTTAAAGCACCTGTTTATTGGCCAATTTAATGGTTCAAATTGCAGAGGTACCAAACTATGGGCTAGGTCAGATGACAAGCCTGTAGCTTTCCCAAGATAAGCTTATATCCCTTTTACCTCGTGTCCTATTCAGCTGTATTTCTCCTCTGGCCCCAGGCACTGGGATGACTTATTTGCTCTAAGAGATGCTCCTGGAGGTGCTCTAGGCCTGCTGCCTGACCTACACGCTTCCTGACAACCTTTCAAATGTCTAACCCCTGCTTAGCTGACACAAGGCAGCAGGTTTCCGTTGTCTTGATTGAGGCGTCTCACTGTAATTCTCAGCAACTTATTCATTGCTTTAATGCTCTCTTCAGTGCTCCTGGTCCCCAAGCTGCAGATAATTTGCCAGGGCTCTCCCTCAGTGCAGCTGCAGCCATTTCCCTCTGGTTAGATGGCAAGGCTCCAGCACAAGTCTTCCTGTGATTATCCCCTGAGTGACTCTTTGTTATGCACCATTTTTGCTGTGTTGCTCCTTCTCTTCGTTTTTAGAGGGTAACATTTCTACCCTGAATAGCAAGGTCAGATTGGCTCTGTTATCCATCAGGTCCTCTCTCCTCTGAGTTCTCTAGGAGATTCCTCCCCTCTTTTCTGGTCCCACAATGAGTATAATTAAGTCCTTGATGGTTCCTAAGATTTTTTTTTTAATCTGCTTGAAATAGGCACTTTTGTGAGTTCTGCTTTTAAAAAAAAAACAAAAAAACACACAGTAGTTGGATTCTGAAATCATCAGCAAATATCAATAAGTGTTTACAGCTTCCATGCATTTCTGTAATAGTCAAGTATGTTGTTTAAAGTCAGATCTTGCTACTTATCTAGTTCCAGAACTGAACAAACTCCGAGTTTTGGATCAATGCCCGATCACTCAAATCAGGTGACTGTACTTAAGGGCATTAATGACCAGGCATTAGCTGGCACTGCTTATTTATGATTGAGATTTTGCACCTCTCGCCTAATTTAGCAGAGTGCTCTTCAGCAAGAGATTTATGCTGCCAGTTCTTTTGTAATGTCAGAGCTTGGCTCACAAATACCTCCTCTGCTGCAGCGGGCTGGGTGTTTTGTTTGCATTTGATGCTGCACCACATTCAGTTTTCTGCTACCTGCTTGTGTTTTTACTATCGTAAGGTATTTCAGTGCAGGTACCTTTTGATGGCATGTTCCGATTCAAATAAAAACTGAAGCTTTTTTTTTTTTTTTAATACGATTGATTACGAAGGTGGTAGCAACTGATTATTTTGGTGGCTCTCTCTAAAATGTTGCTTGAATGCATCTTATTCTTGCAGAGATGAGTCCCGGCATGGTACTTCAGGCGTGTACAAAGCTCAGAGAATCCAAGAATTTTATAGAGGAAAGACTTATTAGATCATTTAGTCCCGTCTCTGACATATGCTGTAACAAAAATATTCCACTGGCTCTAACTTAAACAGGAAGACTAGTAACTGGGTCCAGAGAGGAGACTAAATATTGCTTAGACTTACAGAAATGTTGCTGCTCCATATGGCAAGTGCTAACATATGATCTTATATTAAGAAACCTTTCAAATGACAAAAGATGCAATGGATTCAAACCTTACCACAAAAGACAGAGGTAAATCAGGGCTCATACTGGTACCTGTATAGAGTCAAGCTACCCTTTTAGCAACCAGTGCCTGGGTTTCCCTTCGAGAAACATTAGTGCAAGGGACTCCCAGCAGGCAAGCTGCCAAGGGGGGATAAATTAAACTAAATAAAAACATGCACCAGTAACATCCCCACAAATGAGGATAATTTAATTACCACACAGGATAGGAGACCTACTTTCCATGACGCTTCCAATGTGACCGGAGATGAGAGAATAGCAACATTACGTGCTGCAGTAAGGAATATTCATTTACTAAAAAGAAGCTTTCTATTAGGGTCTGCATATTAAATAACATCGTTGCTTTCTGTAATCATGTCATAATCTTACCATAAAATTCAATCAAGGCAACAGCTTGTGTGTGTCCAGAAAGCAATATAATCATATGAGAAATGACTGCAGATGTAACTCTGGAATTTAGTTCAAGCCTCGAAACATAGTTGTTAAGAGGAATACTTAAGCAATAAGGCAGCAGATGCCTTGAAGATTCTGCATGGTAAAGTCTCCCCAGCTTCAGACCAACACAGCCAGCCTGCAAAACCACACTTAGGTAGTAACGTCCTAGCACTGGATTTTTGGAAGGGGCTATTTCTGCTCCTCCTCTTCCTAAAACAAAACGGCTATTAAACCAGAACAGGATATAATCTCTTCTGGAATCCCTACTCAGCAATGCAATTTTACTGAACTGAATTCAAAATACAACAGCAACTGCAAGGAATAAGATACAAGATGGATTTCGCTTGTTCATTAGTGCTGAAATGCAAGAGAAAGAGCGAGCTAATGTGATGGGCTTCTGAAGAGCTTCATATACTGTGTAATGTACCCCTGGGGTGCTCATCTGTTATGCGAGAGAAGTGAAAATATTTTTCCCTCTCTCTTTCTCTCTGGTGAAAACACTAAGTGGACAGTATGGGCTCAGCTCTGTTGAATGTAATGGAGTGAGTGCATCCACTCAATTATTTAAAATGCTTGAGTAATTGCAGCCCTGTCAGTTCAGAAAGCCTCTCTTTGCTAAAGCCACCACACACAACCATTTCTATGCAGAGGGTCGTGGCAGCACCAGTTTCTGCTTTATTTACTAATACATTCTATAAATCAAAGCCAGTGGGAATGAAAGACAGCATAACCCAAGTCTCCCATGTCCTTCTGTTTAAAAAAAAAAAGCAAAAAAAAAAAAAAAGCATTCTTCCTGATCAGTAGAGAAGAGGTGAGCCCTTACCAGCCTTTGGGGAGGATGTTGTAATTAAAGCAGCAAGGCAAGATTAATTTGTGGGTTGTGCTGGCTGATACCAGTATAATCTCTTGCCAAAAACCCAGGGATTAGGATGGCTGCTAGAGGTGCAGGCTAAACACTTCACGGAGAATGGGGTTAAAGGGCTGACACCACCCAAAGAGCTCTCAGGACAGTGCAGAAAGTTTACCAACCAAGCTTCCATGAGCAGGGCTCTGGCATGCTTGAAAGCTTCTCTGGTCAGGACAGCATTTCTGTGATGGGCAGTGGTGCTAAGACTCATCAGAGCATGCCGACAAAGGAAAGGGGCACTTTTCCCCCTTAGGAGCAGAGGATTGCTGCAACCTAGCTCAGGTGTGCATGTTCAAAGTCACCAGCTTATTACTCTGCAGCTGCAGAGTCAGTCCTGTAATTGAGGAGCAGAAGGGAGGACCATTCTGCCTCCTTCCTGCTCAGTCAGGGGTAGCTGGCTGCAAGACAGGAACCACTACACTGAGTCTCTCTCTACCCCCCTCCTTCCCTGCCTGTTATTTAGAATTATGCTTACCTGTCTTCGCTTTCTAGGATCCAACACTTGATTTTCATATAGAAACACCTACTGAGTCAACTGGTTAACTGCGTAGATATGCAAGTGTCACTATAGCCCGCAACATGATATTTATGTAGATGTACCCTCTCATGCTGCAGCATCACAGATTCCCTATAAGATGCCTTGTGCTTCCACACACCTGTAATGTACTCCTTCATTTTGCTTGAATCACTAAATTGAAGGAACTGGCTGTGGAGAGCAGTACTGAGGGACTGCACTTTCACATCCTCCTTTAGACAGCAGTCATCTCACAAAATACTTATGATAGCAACAAACTGGTATGATGAACAGCAAAACCTGTCATCTAGGATGTACTGTGCCACCCCAGTCAATTAAGGTAATTTATTTTACCCAAAGGAAACAAAAATTGAACAGCAGCATTATTAAAGTAAGGTCCTTAGAACTATAGGAGCAAATGTGTCCACAAGAGAAGTGATAAACATTAAGGAAACCAGCCCTTTGGTTAAAATCGTAATATCCTGTCCTTGTCTCTGAAGAGTCCCCTCAAACATCCTTGTGACGCAGAACTCTAGCCACAGACACTTCCACATTTGCATTAGTTTTTTGCTCACCGTACTGGATACTTCTCCCCAGGGTCCCTCCCCAAATGGAAAAGCAGTGGCAGAAGGGTGTGTTCCTCTTGAGTATGCGTTGTCACTCCTGAGATGTTTTGTCCAGGACAAAAATCGATGCCCTGAGTTGGAAAAAAAAAAAATGGGTCAATGAGATGATGGGATGAACGGATGGGTTTGAGCTCATTTATTTAATAAGTGATGGATGCAAACAGTGGACTCTATCAGAGTTTGCATCTGGAGCATGACTTAACACAGGCCTCACATTTCTGCATTATTAAAAATCAAAATCTCGCTATAAAATATTCATTGAAATGAAATGGCAAACAAAAGACAACAAGGAGGTCATTTAATCACAACTCTGCACATATAAACCATCTCCTCTTTCTTTGATTTCCAAGGTTCAGAGCTATGCTGACTGGCTGGGGCCGCTGTTTTATAGGAGGGAAAATCCAGTAAGATATGAAAGAGCATCATCCCAGGAGGTGACAAGCACCCACAATTCCCCTTGGCTTCGATGGAAGCTGCAAATGCTCAGCATCTGAGTCAGACCCAAAAGACTCATTTCGCAGAAGGCAGCAATAAATTGGGTTATTTAAAAGAGTCAGGTGTGTTTGTCTCTGTGATTTACAGCTTCTCAGAGTGCCGGTATTTGGTTGTTAGCCAGGGAATGCTAGGTGGGCTGGATGCTCTGAAGTAAGTCTGGAAAATCCCCAATATCCACCATTAAAATCTGTTGCTGCAAATCAAGTGTTCCCCAACAGCAGGAGCTGTTGGTGCAGAGGCCATAGTTACCTGGACGCTTCAATTATTAGCAGCAGCGGGTTAAGTCCTTAGTCCCCAGCCCAGGGATCCCCAATGCTGTCTGTTCAGAAATCCAGAGCAGTGCACACGCCCTGCATCTGCGACTCCCTATGCTTTGCCAGGTTTCGTCTCTCCTAAACTCCAGGCAATTATTAGCCAGATGTCAACTCTCTAATAACCTAGAGCTTGGCCTAGAGTCTTACGGGCTATTTTAACCCTGGGAATAGCAAAAAATTTTAAAGTGCTAATTTCACTGAAGCAAAAATAAAGCAGGAGGCCCCATGGACTAGCACAAGCTAGCACCTAGCAGACTTGTTAAACCTCAGAGTTTTACAATTCAAGCTAACACACTGTGCTATTTACAATTCCTCAAAATGCCAGAGACACAGACAGGGACTCAGAGAAAAGGTAAATGGTAATATTTAAATGGGGGGGGGG